AGTGAGCAAAAGAGCCAAACAGAAGTATTCATAAAACTGTCGAGGAGGATGAGGTCCAGACAAGCTGAAGAGGTAACCCTTGAGCTGAGCCTTAAAGGATGACATAGCCAGTGGAAAGGGAGGAGACAAGTGTCCCCGGAAGATGAGTTGACCTACAGAGTACAGAGTGGGTATCCGAGGCATTTCTATCCACCAGAGCACAGCAGAGAGGGGCTGCGCGAGGCAGACAAGGAAGCTGGGAAGGGCTTATGACACAGTGGAACTTTTACCCGCTGGTGAGCAGTGGGAGCTTTTCGGCTAACATGCTGCACAATCAGATCTCGGTGTTTTAGACTACACTGATGGCCCTGTGGGGGTAGGACGGGAAGAAGTGGGGAAAGACACTAATGGCAACCAAAGACTCAGAAGTCAGAGCTGGAAGGGCCCTTGAGAGGCCCAAGGGAACTTTACAGTTAGATTCCTTGGAGTCCTAATGATGAGACTCTCCCACAGCCCATTGTACACCATGCTCACATGTCACATCAAAGAAACTTGTTGTAGTCGTCTGTCATTGCCTTTGCTGTGGGTGGAGGACTGCCCTTCTGTTATGCCATCAAGAGCCAAAGAAGAAACCAGGTCTTGGGAGGATGTGTATCTAAAGCAGCCCACAATCAACCGACAAAAGACCTTGATCAGAGGAAGAACAAATGACAAATTGTTATTTCTTTCCTTCTAGAGAGCACTATGAACCCAGAAGAAACAGTTCTGCACAAACTAGGCTATGAAATGCAGTGTAGATATGCCTCCCCTACATTTCTTATGGTTTTCCTATATGTGGGGGACTCTGAGGAATTTTATTTATCCTCAAAACTGGCATCAAAATACCCACCCATTCTAATTATCAAGTTGCTGCATTCATTTCCTGAGAGTCACTTCTGAAATAGGTAGAAAAGAAGGACAATTACATGCTCTTATTTCTACATACTCTTTCATGAAATCTGAGTATTTTGGTTGAAATGTGAAATACTTTGTAGTAGCTTGCCTTCTGTAATTTAAACAAACAAAAAATAAATACTTAGGCACACCTGAATGGCTCAGTCGATTAAGCTTCCGACTCTTGATTTTGGCTCAGGTCATGACCTCAGGGTCCTGCAATCAAGCCCCACATCGGGCTCTGTGCTCAGTGGAAAGTCTGTTTGAGATTCTCTCTCCCTCTTCCCCTGCCCCTCCCCACCTTCCCTCAAATCAATAAATATAGCTTTTAAAAATAAATAAATACCTAGGTCCCACCTGTCTTACGAACTGAATCTCTAGGAATGGGGCCCAGGAGTCCGTATTTTAATAACCTCCCAGCCGATCTAACCTATTGCCTCCCTGACTTCATGCATCCACAGGACCTTTGCTATCCTCACATTGCCCCTTTGGCTGTTTGACTCAAGTTGTTTTAGATGAACTGTAAAATTGTAGTCATCCTAAACAATATCCATTACATCACAATTTTAATGCACTGTTTTCCAAAAATACACATCAAAACCTAACTATTTTAAAAATTTCTTATGGGCCAGCTGAAGGCACCCCTGCACCACCCTACCACTGAAAGCAGCAAGTTTGGGAGGAGTGGGTCCAGCTGCTGCCGGGCCCAGGGTGATAGGAGCCAAACTGGCACCCTATCCCCGTTCCTCCGGGAGGCCTCTTGCTAGGCCTGAGTGCCCTCACACAGCCCTGTAGGAAGCCCCTCACTTCCAGGATGCATCCCCCTTCCCTTCTCCTTCCCCTTCTTCTGTTACCCCAACCAAACTAACTCCTAGGGACCAATCTGAGAACAGTGTCAGTGAAGCACATTAAGGCACATTACAATATAATTTGGTGATGGATAGCAGGTTTAATCCCAAATATGCAATTGTTTTCCAAGAGTGGGACTCCTCCCATAGTTGTGTTCGTAGAGCCCTTTCCACCCAGCATCTTGCCAGTTACTGTGCCCACTTCTCCAGCGCCGTTTGTTGCCAGTCCTCTGGGGGGTGACTGCTGCAGCCATACTGGTTTTCAGTCCTCAGAACACACCCTGCTTTCACTCTCTCAATATGCAAGCTTCCTCCTGACGTAGGGCCTTTGCATTTGGTGGACTCCCTGAAGAGACTGCTGCCTACACATTCATTTGGTTTCAACTTAAATGTCACGTCTTATTCAGAGGCAGCTCCTGACCAACTAACCCAGCTAAAGTGACACCAGTCCCCACAACACCCACATCCTCCAGGTCTCTCTCTCACAGTGGCTTTCAACCAGAGGTGATAGTACCTCTCAGGAGACGTTTGTAGTTGTTGCAATTGGAGGGGCCCAACTGTCTCCTCCAGTGGGTAGAGGACAGGGATGCTGCCAAATATCCTACAATGCACAGGACCACCTCCATAACAAAGGGTTATCTGGCCCCAATGCCATAGTTGAGAAGCCCAGCTACCACTATCTTCTTTTTCCCCTCCATATTAATTAGTACCAGAACTGATAGTTTGGGGGTTTCTCCCCTACTAAATTGGTGCTCCTCAGGAACTGGAGTTAAATCTTGCCCCACTTGCCCTTTTCCTGGGAGCCCACAGCAAGTTGAAGATGCCAGGCTCCAACTAACAGATGAAACTGAGAAAGCAACAAGTCAATTTTTCAAAATGAAAACAAAAATTTCTTTTATTAATGAGTGTACCTATAAATGAAACTAGTCACAAAGAGTCCCTCATACTTTCATGTACTCACAAAATTATCTTAGTGATTAGTGATTAGCCATTAGTGAAAGCTTGGTTCTGCTACTTCTTAAAGACATGCAAAATTTCCCAGGTTTAAATATCCTACTTACACCAGGGTCCCAATGTCTCAAGATAGATTATAGAAAATGGAACCTCAATTGTCTCGAAGGATTGAAAACAAATGTCAATACATTCTACAAGATGGATATAGTCACAGAAAAGAATTAAGTATTAACTAAATACCTCCCCTTCCTCTCTTCCCACCTGTTCATCCTCTACAGTACACATTTTTCTACAGTATAAAATTAGCCAAATTACCCAATATCAACTTTTCCAAAAAAGATACATTACTCCCACCCACCCACCCCCAAAAAAGTACCATATAGCAAAAGACATATGAATGCAACACCATTGAAATTATTTACTCAGTGCTAAGGCTAAATCTGCTATTACTGCAAACTCAACCAAAAAACAAAAACAAAACAAAAAAGCTCTTTGTATTTCTGTAGTGTTTTCTACTTTCCAAAGAGTTGAAGTAACATGTCATTGGAATTACTGCTACACACCAATATAATTATGGAAATAATTATGCCTGATAGATTAGAAAATGTAGGCAACAAGAAAGATTTACCCTAATGTCATCCAGTGTTTCTGTTAAGAGTTAAGACTAGAACTCAGGTCCTAGTCCTGATTCTGTGTACCACCTCCTTCCCACATGTCCTTATATATTGTTTCACAGAATGCTCCTGGATAGGCCAGTAGTCACCGTGTTCATGGGTTTCAAGCAAATTTTGAAAATGCTGGATTAACAGAATTAACCAGACTCCCAGAATTTTAATGTGGCATCATAAATCTCCAGGAAGGGAATGGAGAATAGGGCTGTCATAAATTCAAAGTCCCAGTCACAAAGCAGGGAACAAATGTGTGTGTGTGTGTGTGTGTGTGTGTGTGTGTGTGTGTGTGTGCAGGCAAGGTGAGGACTAGGGGCAGAAGGGATGTAGCACCATTTAATGGGGCCCTGACAATGTAGGAATGTTGCCAGGTCTTTCCAGAGAAGCTACAAATCCAGGCTTTAACCCAAGATCTCCATGTTTATGCATGTTGTCTTGAATTTAAAAGAAAAACACTACAGTTTAAACAAAATGTCCTGGGCCAGATCAGGTCTTGGCCCCAATTAGGAAACCCAGTATAGCATGTTTAACAATCTTATTTGCCCCATATAACCTTTATTCAGAGGTCCTGTCCATTTCCTAGGACTCTGCAGAACAATGTCAAAGATGTTGTCTTCAGAAATAAACTAACATCCTGCCCTCCTAGACCACTATGGAGGAGTTACTCCTAAGCAGGAGTTATTTCAGTGTGTACTCAGACTGAAATTAATACCCAGCCTCCTTAACTGTTCACGTAGCAAATCTTCTGGTGACCACAGATATCCTCGCCATTAGCCTTTGTTTAACTCTTGGAAAAACCAAAAATTTAATTGAACTGTGAAAAAAGGAATAGCATTGGAATTGGTTTGCTATTAAAAAAAAAAAATCAGAGAAAGACATGTATCATATGACCTCACTGATATGAGGAATTCTTAATCTCAGGAAACAAACTGAGGGTTGCTGGAGTGGTGGTGGGTGGGAGGGATGGGGTGCCTGGGTGATAGACATTGGGGAGGGTATGTGCTATGGTGAGTGTTGTGAATTGTGCAAGACTGATGAATCACAGATCTGTACTTCTGAAACAAATAATGCAATATATGTTAAGAAAAAAAAAAGAAGAAGATAGCAGGAGGGGAAGAATGAAGGGGGGTAAATTGGAGGGGGAGACAAACCATGAGAGACGATGGACTCTGAAAAACAAACTGAGGGTTCTAGAGGGTAGGGGGGTGGGGGGATGGGTTAGCCTGGTGATGGGTATTGAGGAGGGCACGTTCTGCATGGAGCACTGGGTGTTATGAACAAACAATGAATCATGGAACACTGCATCAAAAACTAATGATGTAATATATGGGGATTAACATAACAATAAAAAAATTAAAAAAAAATAATAAAAATCATTTAGCAAAAAAAAAAAAACTAATGATGTAATGTATGGTGATTAACATAATAAAAATTTAAAGAGAAGATTTAAAAAAAAAAAACCCACCCTTCATCTTTCCAAAACAATTTTAAAAACTGCAGTGGTATGAGGACAATTTAGAATTTTGATTCAAACTAGTAACACTCTCAAACAACACTATTATATTTGTAAAGAAACTTTTCTAAAGCAGGAAGCCTTTTAGCCTTCTCCCTTTTTTTCTTCTATTTATTTCTGCCCTGCCTCATTCTAAAAATTAGTTCAGAGAGCATGGCAATTGTCTATACAAGTGCTTGAAACTGTGGAACAGATGTAGGAGAAATAGCATGCAATAAATCATATGGCAACTGATTATCTTTCCCTGGTATCTACTTGGTCCACTTACTACCTTAGTTTCTTCTAACTGCTAAAATACCCACTTTGGGTCCAGGGAAAGCCTTAATATGGTATATTTCCAGAGCCATGAGAAATCAGATTGACCTATAATGGCAAAATCACATTCACTTCTATTTCCCCATGGGGAAATAAAGACCTGTGTAACCCTGTGATTTGAAAGCCTTGGGGAACCTAAGAAATATAACATTTGGAGTTACAAGGTAAAAAACAAGAGATTATCATGAAATGCTTCCAAGTGAAGTCCTTTAAGTCCCAAATCAGATTTACTGATTTTAACTCCTACTCTGCTCTTCTTGACAGCTTTGGTGACCAAGGTGGTAGTTCTTCTCCTGTCTCACCAGTGAGAATATGTAATTCTACAGTGTTCATGTTTGGGAGAAAGATTGAAAAAGTTTTAGCACAAAAAATTAAAACTCTATGACCAATGAGGTTGACTGTACACAGATAAAACCAAGTCACTCTACCCAACATAACTGACATGTTAGAATATCATTGGAAATTGACAGAAAAATCATTCTAGAGCTTAAAAGAACTCTGACATGGTGATATCTTGTCACTGTCTTCTGCAGTCAAGGACATAAATCCTCAGAGGGCCACTGGGTCTTAATCCATGACATAAAGATTGTCCTCGATAATGTAGATATTGTCTTCTGCTCGGACACCCACTTCAGCTGCACTTTGCAAAGCTCCAGTCCGAGAGTCATTCAACGAAACCATGCTACAGAAAGAATAATATGAGTCTTTAAGGAAAAGCAGACCACTTCTAAAGTATGATGAGCACATTTATGTACATGCAGGCAAGGCTGAGTATTTGCAACTCCCAGAGCCCTATGAAATAGTGAATAGGAGATCCATATTAAGTTGCTGGAGTCTGTTTAATAAGCAGGTAGAAAACCTAAGTATTCTTCTTGAGAAAACTCATGCAATAGAATACAAAAATTGAAAATCTAAGAAGACTGGTGTCAAACATCGAATTGAAGTCCTAAATCAAGATGCCTATTCTCAAGGGTAACTAAGAAATGGTTTGGTTGCTGTTTTTCTAACTGTGGATTGTACTCTTCCAGAGAGGGTCATTAAGTCTATTTAGCAGTCTACAACCTGCATTTAGGATATATACAGAATACAAAATATATCAGAACATACTGGATACAGCAAAATAGTATTGCTTCACATAAGTGTGTACTGGATCATGGTGTCAGAAATCTTACAGAAAACATAGTGTCTTAATGATCCGAATTTGAAAGCCACGGGTTAGACAACGTTCATAACATATACACTCATACGTAAGTGTACAGAAAGGGCATGTGTGCCATTTTGATACAGCTGCTGTTTTCTAATTGGTAGAGAGTGCCTGTTTTTATTACTTAAGCCTGCCCAGAAATGATAATGGAACATGCTGAGGCTTCACTCAGCTTTGATCTTTAAGTGACCACTCACGCATGTGTGAGAATAGGTTAGGTGTCAGTAGCTTGAAATGAGTCAGTGTGAACTGCAAAAATGAAAAAAAAAATGAAAAAAGTTATGATGAAATGCTCAGGGTTTTTTGTTCTTGTTTTTTTTTTTATATATTTTATAAGATTTTCTACAGTAACTATTTTCTTTTATGATTAGGTGATAAAAAGCCTCTAGAAAAAGTTAGCAGTGAAAGAACAGAGATCAGCTAAACAGATGCTACGTTCCATGCTTTTCTGCCTGTTTGGAGCAATTTCTTTCTTCCATTCTTGGAAGCACATAGTCAAAAACTTCTATAAGTATGGGTATGGGACTTTAAAAGATCTAAGACTGAGTCTTTTAACTGCTGTATGGTGTGACTTTGGATGTCACTTAACACTTCTAAACCTGTTCTCCAGTCTGTACGCTGAGAATAATAGCGCCTATCTCTTGGGTGTATTGCCGCAACAGGCATAACTGCAATAAGAGAAAACCAGGATTTATGGAGCATTTACAATGTGGTGGGCATTGTTCAAGGTGCATTCAGCAGATTGGCTCATGTAATTAACACAGATCTAGGCAAGACTGTGTGCAAACATCCAATGAAAGAGCACTAGAAATAATGTGTGGCAATCTAAGAGGGATGGATTTTGAATCAAAGACCTTGCTTAAAGCCCAAGCTGTACCAAATGAAGCAAGCTACTTGGATTTGGAAGTAGTAGCTTCCTACTATTGTAACTATTCTAGCAGATGACCACAGGCCATATGCAAGTAAAGGGGATTTAAGTTTTAATTGGGCAGTAGGATGGATTTACAAAAATTGTAAATTCCAATGCCTATGAGCCCAGAAAACCAATGCAAATGAGCAGAACAGGCTGGGAATGGAACAGCAGGGGAAGACAGGAACTGTGGAGAGCTGAAGGCATTTGCCCCACCACAGTGCCTTTGCACTTCTTCAGTCTGGAGTTGTCTTCTTCCAGATCTTTGCAGAGCTGCCTTCTGTTCCTTTGAGACTCCCTCAAATAGCCCATTACCTTGCTCTGTTTTCCCCCATGGTATTTGTCTAGAAGCATTAAAAGGACTCTGTTTATTTGCTTATGTGTTTTCTGTTTTGTTCATCTCTTTGAAATATAGTAGACATTCAATAAACAAAGCACTGAATGAAATTAAAGAACAAACCAAACAACTCATTCAAATGTTCCATCAAACAAAATTTGTGATCTCTTGCTCTAAGAGGTTAAGACTGAGATGCTCCTTCTGTAGCGTTAGGGGACAATTCCAGAGAAATATAGATAGCTAAAAATATCACTAGAAGTTGTAGATAACAATAGAGGTGCTCATTAAGCTAGATTTTTCAGGATCTAGGGTATAAAATGAAGAGTTTAGGAGAAAAAGAGGACAGAGAGAAATTTTTCTTTATTTTTGGTAGAGTAGAAATATCAAAAGGTACTGACAAAAACTCTTTCAAACTTACTTTAGTTGTTCCAGCTTGTTTCTTATGCATAAGTATTCTAAATTGGAGAGGAGTTGAAGAAAAAATTAAACACATTGGCCAAAGAGTTTATGAAATCTTTTTTCAAACAAGTATATTATTTCTATTACTTTCCTATGAACAAAATCTGTACAGAGCTAGAGCCTAAAAAAATAAATTTAGAAGAAAGTATGTTTAAAAAAAAAAAAACCCAGACTGGACGATTCCCAAGTTACTCAGGTAACTCCTTTTGAATCAGTAAGATCCAAACAAATTTCTGAGTATAAAGTATTTCATTTTCATGAATGGTTTAGTGTATTCACCCATATGCCCAGGCTTACTTTTAATGCAATTATTAATAATTAAATATCATTTTTAAAAAAATGAATGTGGCTCTTTCATAGGAGACAGGCTACACACACACATACCACACCACATGCACACACACACACACACACACATCACACACACCATACACCATGCACACACACCACACACACACACCCATACACACACCACACATGCCACACACATCACGTGCACATACACACGTACGCACACAATATACCCAAACACAACAGCTGGATTGCTACCTCTTGAAGTCCTGCTTCTAGCCCTAGCCCTGAAGTCAGTTTCCCTTCCAATGTTTCATTTGCCTCTCCTGTTAAATGGGTCTTATAAAACTCAACAACATCATCCCTCATGGGGACAAAAACTGGTTCTTGAGGGGAGTGGAAAAGGAGTGAACAAATCATATATGGTTTGTTGTCTTCCAAATCCCCAGTCTACCCAAAACATTCTCATTTTTTAATATTTAATTCCACATCTGGAGAATTTATATTGCATCTTTCTCTTTGTAGGTCAATAATTTAAAAAAAGAAAATAGTTTAGGAAACAGAAATTTAGGTGAAATCTCAATCACATGGCAGTTTGCCTCGAGGACCCCTTGCTCTGTTCCCTTAGGTACAATCCTGAAATAACTTACTTTTGGTAATCACGACAACCAGCACAGAGAGCAATACCGTAGCAGTAATGCAGATGCCAATGTAGAGTCCCTTACTGGTGGTCATCCATGGATTTTGTGCCAGCAACACATGCTAAGGAAACATTGGTGGATCAGAAAAGCATCATGTTAGAGTTATGGATAGAAGACATTCCCTAAGGGGCACCTGGGTGGCTCAGTCAGTTAAGTGTGTGACTCTTGATTTCAGCTCAGGTCATGATCTCAGGGTTATGAGATTGAGCCCACATTGGGCTCCGAGCTTGGCTTGGAGCCTGCTTAAGATTCTTTCTCTCTCCCTTTCCCTCTGCCCCTTCACTTCCCCCACTCCACACAGCCACCCCATGCTCTCTCTCTCCCTCTCTAAAAAAAAAAAAAAAAAAAGACATTCCCTAAAATAATGTACTTGGACCCATTTATCTTTGTTGGCCCTTGGCTATTTCTGGCTCAAGAAAGCTAAGACCAAGTGATCCGAGGTTATAACCATATGGTGAAATTCAAAGACCATTTAAAATTCAAAATGTATTTGGGGATGGTAAAAATGTTTTGTATCTTGAGTGGGTGGTATTTACAAAGGTGTATGCATTTCTCAAAACTCAAACTGTATGCTTCAAATGGGTGTACTTTATTGTATGTAAATTATACATATTTTTAAAAATCAATAAGCTAGTTCCATAAATATATCCTGATATTAAAAAAGAAAACATAATTTTTGTTCATATATAAGTTGACCTAGTGATGTTGCCTGAATATGCTCAGTTATTGAAATTGGTCCTTGATTATAGTCCTTTTTTTTTTTAAGCTATAATTTAAGATTCTTTGTCTACATAAATGGACTTGAAAGTAGGTGCTCACAGACATGGCCCTCTTTAACAACCAACCTGAAATGCTGTCAATTGGGTGGAGATGCAGAAATTTGTTTAAACATCTTAGTGCAGTTTGTAAAGGATCACTACCTTCTGGAATAAGCCTGAAATATGCCAAGCATCACACTCAACCCTTTTACATAGCTTAGTTCTAATCCTAAAGAGATCCCAGAGGATAAGTATTTAAGAGAAAAGATCAGAGAGAAGGATCAAGTCTCTTCTGTATAAAAGTTTAATCTCTGGAGTCAGGATCTCCTCTCTTCAACTTAGTTGCTGTGTGACCCTGGACAAGTTATTCAGCCTCTCTGAACCTCTGTGTTTGTGTCTGTCAACTATGGATTAAACAGGGTTCTTGAGAAAGGTACTTTTAGGTACCCCCTGATAATACTATGAGGAAGATAGGGATAAGGGAAAATACTTAGTGTTTGGGCTTAAAGGGGAAACAGCCAGGGTCCGGGACAGAAGAGCTTGTGCTGTCATTACCTTACCAATGGGCGGTAAAGTGGTTAGATGGAACATGGAGCTGCAGGAGGGAGGCTTTGCTTTCGTTTTTAAAAATATGACATAAACACTACATGTTCATTTTAGAATGTGCAGCTAAGCATGAAAAAAGGAAAACTAAAAACAACCATAATCCTAACATCCAGAACAAACACTATTACCATTTTTATTATATACTCTTCTAGAATTTTATCTTCCTAGTGTTTTTCTTAACATAAACAATTACTATATTCAATATATGCTACTACACATGTACACACACACACACACACACACACACACACACTATTTTAACAGTTTTTTTTTTTCCCTTAACAATCAGTAGTAACTGTCTTCCCATGTCAGTAAATGCACTGCAGTGACTCCATTCTTAATGGCAGTATGCGGGCACACTTAATTGACTAAGTAATTAATCCCTTACTATTAAACATTTAAGTTGTTTTTAACATTTTCATGATTATAAATAGCAACAATGAACATCTTTTCTCCTACATCTTCATGTACTTGTTCAATTCTCTCCTTAAAATAGAGTCCAGAAAGCTGACCTATTGGGTCAAAATATATGCAGCATGTTTTCAAGATACATGGGATACCTCTCCACATCCTCAGAGTCAAGACACAAAAGGCCCATGATTTCACTGCTGCCTGTTGTGAACTTGCTTCTAAATCGTTTCTACTTGCTGCTAAACATACCTATCTACAGGTAACTGAGGTCAAGAACAATCTCCCCACTCAGAAGGGTTTTTTTTTTTTTTTTTTTAATCCAGCATAGGTCTGGCCACATAGCAATAGAAGAATCATTCACACAGTGGCAGTTCCAACATTCAGTAATTCAACCCATATCCATTAGATCAATCAGTGCCCATGCCACATAAGTTGTTCAAAATTTTTATATCACTCCTATGTAGTGTTCTTATTGTCACTGATGTATACAACATAAAGCCATTTGACCCCATGCTAAATAACCCCACCATGCCTGAGCTTGAATTTCTCTTATCATGGCTGTGTTGTCATTTCTCACTACTTGAGACCAGTAAGATTATTCTCATACATCAAACTCTTTTAGTTTGCTGTTTCTAAGAGTTATTTGCACATACTAAAAGGAAACTTATTTCTCCCAGAGGAACCAAAAGAAAAAGTCCTATTGATAAATTTGTCTAACTTATTTGCAAAGATGAGACTTTGATGAGCATCATGAGACTAAGACCCCTAAGATTTTTCTCAAGCTCACTGTGGAAAAAGTATAAGAACATCTTTCAAAGTCATAAATTTATATGGGGTGCCCGGGTGGCTCAGTCAGTTAAAGCATCTGCCTTCGGCTCAGGTCATGGTCCCAGAGTCCTGGAATTGAGCTCCATGTCTGGCTCCCTGCTTGGCTCCCTGCTTGGCTCCCTGCTTGGCTCCCTGCTCAGTGGGGAGTCTGCTTCTCCCTCTGCCCCTCCCCCCTGCTCATGCTCTCTCTCACTTTCTCTTTCTCTCAAATAAAATCTTTTTTAAAAAAAAATCACAAATTTATTTAAGATGTTAATACCTTAATAAGTCATCATATGGGGAGGTTTATGTATAGAAAAACTCAACAGTGGCCTCAAAATTTCTATAAAGGATGGCAATTGGGTTAGAAAAGAATATGAGGCAGGATCTGCTTAAGCAAACTCACATTCACTGACATAGTATTTTTGTTTTGGGTGGCCTCCACTCCACTGATTCGAAGTGTGTTATTTCCCTAATGATAACTGAAGTCTTCCTTGGTTAGTTAACTCATTCTCCTTGAATTAGTTCACTCTTTCTTCCTAATTTTTGGCCAGGAGAAAGTCTGTAGTATGTTTTGTGTGTATATCTTGTTTATCAGGCAAACTCTAACAAACCAGTCTACCTGTATGAACTTTTCAAATTAATTAAAGTATCCCTATTTGAGTCAAATTATTTTCCTCTTTTTTTATTTTAACTAGAAAGAATCAATCTTTGGGTTAGTCTTACAGAAATAATCTCTAAATGTAACTTGCTTCCAGGGAGATATACAAGTGAATCTGGCTAGTAAAGTAGGAAGAAAAATGCTTACAGTTTGATTGCTATGCCAAAGGCCATCTGAAGACTGTGTCACAGTGCCATTCCCATCTGCTCAACAAGAAAGAAAATTAGTCATAATTACAAAAAATATTGAATTTTCACTGTAGATACTAAATATATTCACATTGCCTTCTGGTGGTAAATAAAAAGTTGAATAATAATATGGCCAAATGCTGCAGACATTGCAAAAGTCATACCAAGTTACTAAGCTGTATTAATTTATCCTGTAAGGTTGTGTTTCTTGACCATTTTGTCTTGGACCCTTCAAAAATGGACACTGTCTTCCTTATGGAAAAAAAATGCATGTATACACAAAGTTTTACCTACAGTTTTAGGGGAATTACAGAGGCCCATTTTTGGAACTGGGTTAAGAATGCCACTTAATGATAGGTAATCAATATTTTCATGCCAGCTAAGAACCTGTCGGTGAGTTCCCCAAAGGCCACATGTACATCCAAAGATCAGGACCACTCTATTCCGAATGGACATTACATTGGCTTTATTCAGAACATGAGTAAAATGTACTAAGAGATCTAAAACAAGTGGTATATAACTCCTACATTATATGCCAATATGCCCAGACTTTGATCCAGAAGTATTTTATAAAATATCTGTTATATCAGCTGTGAAACTAATATATCTTATACTGCCAAAAATCCTAATATAAAAGGATATTATACCTTAAAGCTTCAATTGTTCAAGCTTTACTAGAGTTTTGAAATATCGATTTTGTAAATATAGCTAGAACTACAAGCTATAACAGTACCCCTCTCATAAAGCTGTCGAATTAGATCATGTAAGTAAAGGACTGAACATCATATTTGATAAATACTAGCTGTTATTAATTATTATGTTACATTGGAGGGAGCAGTGGGGAGAGAGACACTGTGTAATGCACCTCCCAAACATCATATCCTTCTATAATGGTTAACATCCGGGGACGAATGCCACATCTTGCCCATGGGCATGCAGCTAGTAGCTGGCCATTGAATTGGGAGCTGCCTGTCTCTAAAGCAGAACTATAGGGCCTCCCTAATCTAGCAATGGCAATCAGTGAGACCTGCCTTCAAAGAATTAAGTGAGATAACGTATGACAGTCGCCTGGCACATACATCTATCCAATGTGGGTGGCGGGCCATATGAGCACCAAAATCCCTTCCAGATCCAACTAACATTCTTTGCTCCTGTGAGTCTTCAGTTCACTGAAGGCTGACACAGGCACAGTGAGGATTTGGCTTGAGACCCTCAGGTACACAGCCAAGGTGGCAATGATCACATAAGTCATAGGGGACACAGCTGCTCCCATGTCTGTTCCACTCTGGAAAGCTCTACCTTGACCAGGTTTTAGTCCTATGATTCCCTACTCTGATGCGCTTCCCACTCAAACCCAAGAAGTGTGCAATACGTCTGCTTCCTACTGCTGCTGCTACCTTGTGTTTCTATTTATTTTCACTCTGTTTTTGTGCCCAGAAACAGTTGACACTAAGGATTCCACTTTCAAAACCAAATGTCACCATTATCTCATTCCAGCTGAATAGGCCCCTCTGTGAATCTCACTGCAGGTCCATTTTAAATTAACCAGCTTCCAGGAATGATTGGCGAAAGGTAAGCCATACAGGGGGGCCCCCTACAGATTGGCAACTCCTGAGCACAGTGAGTCATAGACATCAAGGAGGAGTCTTGCAAGGCTGGACCTTGTCTGGATTCAGCACAGACACAAGCACATATAAACCAGCTCCACATTACAAAGGGGTTCAGCCTGTGGCACTCCCCAAAATAACCACTATGGGTAACAGAATTATCTGGGGCAAATGAGAGGATTTAGCATCACCTTTCTCTACCACAGGAAAGACAGGTGAATCTTAGGTTTCAAAAAAGCAAAGATTATATGAAACCTGCCCAGAATGGGGACAGTGGGAAAAAATTGGAGAAAGCAATAAACATTCTCAGCGGATATGCCTCTTGGTGCTGGGTGCTGATGTCCTCAGCCCATCTCAAAATGTCCATGTGCAAGCCTCACAGGGCAGCAGGGGAACTTCCTAGATGTACTTAGGGTCTGGGTCTTCAATGAAGCATGAATATAGTTGACCAGTTGGGCCTGGATAATGGAGGGCTGGATTCAACTATTTTATGGCTCTGGCCCAAGAGAGCAAGCCCACTAAGAAGTCTGGAGTCAAGAGCGGCTCATTTGAATAAGAAAAAGAGTGATTTGCATGTGGGTATTATGCACGTGGATGTTCCCAAATCATACAAGCTCCCTGGGCCAGTCAGGTATATGGATTCTGGACTTTGGAAGTAAGAGTCGCAGTTGCTATTTTATCTATTACTTACCACATTTTAACTATGTCTTAGGTTTTTCACCTTATTTAATCCTCAAAAGCAAGATCATTGTTATTCCACCCATTTCACAAATGATAAAAACAGATTCTAAATAAGACACTTGCTCAAGTCACATGGCTGATTCGAGTGGCCAGTATGAGCATTCATGTCAGATTTGCCTTTTTCAGAATGTGGTCTTTTAACAATGCATCAACGATTATCCAAAGTGAGTATGCCCAGGCATCCAGGAAAGAAAATGAAGTTACCTGTTGGACAGGAGTACAGTGGTAAATTGGTGGATTGCCTTGTGCTCGTTTCCTGTGGTGGCACAGTGGGCTGGGTTCCTGCTGTCTGCACTGTAGAAGACGAGGTAGCTACTGAAATGAAAAGAATGAAAGAACTGTGCTCTCTTTGTAGAGGAAAATTCCCACCCCCAACAAAAAGAAAAAACAAAACTAAAATCAGGAATCACCATCAACTTCCCCGCAGTGCCCACACCCAACCATCCCCTGAAGGCATGCCTTGCACCCACCCACTTCTACTCCTTCCAACTTCATCTTAGAAATGTATTGAAAGATGGCCTTGAGGAAATACACTGCTATCTAGGCATACCATTATCATGAAGAAATCTGATCTAGATAGCGATCTGCAGTTTCAATATCTAGGGTTATTTCACACTTCTTCTACTCCTAGGATCCCTCTAAATGTCCAAAGCCTACAATAGCACACCTTACATAGGACATCCAATTAAGCTTTTATTCATACAAGTGACATTTCACTTGCACGAAACAGGGCATGGGAGTTTGTGCTAATTTGCCCGTCCCCCTTCACAACAGCCCAATCTAGATTTCCTGGCTTTATTCAAGTTCCCCATTATCCATCCACACATCTTTCCAGGGAGACGCACATATGGATCAGCGCAGAACATATACCCAACAATATTTAATTCCCTGAGGTCTCTTTTGAGGTGACAACACTGTCCAATGTCTGAACCTTGGTGATAATTAATAACTCTCAAAGCCTCGTTCTCGGTGGACCTTAACCTGGTTCCTTTAGCACTGGCATTCTGGTCACTCCTTTTGTAAGACTGATTTACTCTGTTACCTGACTTATCTTCAGTTTTGCACCAAAAAGCTTCACTAAGAATCTTCCAGTACAGGGCTAGGTTTCCCTTTCCTTTCTAAAATCACTCCTGTATTTTTTGTCAGATATCTCACCTTACATGCAGCACTGATCACTTGCCTCTGTGTATTTTATTAACATTTTAAATATTTTATTTTTATACACTTTACTCCTAGAGCACCACAAGTTTTAGAGCAAGTTAGTGGTGCTGGCTGGACAAGAATTCCCAAACCGGCGCTTTTCTTGCCTTTCATTGGTCTTTCTGTTTTCCCTTCCCCACAGTGGCCTCCACATTTCAACATCACCCTTTTTCATGTTCTGAACTATTTTCCTGCTTCTCTCTAATGCTCAAATCCATAACAGGATGTAGCTCTGTTTAAGAACTAAGAACAGGACAATACAATGAAGTTAGGTGATTAGAAACTTTATTCAACTTGGATCTGTGCAAAAGACCTCTTGGGCTTAACTTTTTTTTCCAAGTCTGGGTCTTAGCAGGCATCTTTCTTTTCTCCCTGTTTCTACAACCTTACATCCAACCATTCCATGAATATTTTAGGCAACTAGTATACACAAGAGGCACTGAGCACAGGAAGAGCGTGGATGTAAAGATAAATGTCCCTACATTGGATCTGCTCCAGAGTGCACCTCCTTCCTGTTCAACTCAACTGAAACTCATGAGAAAACCATCAAGACAAGGATAAGGCTCAATTAATACTATCCCTGAGGAGGTCACAGGGACATATAAGCCAACACCTTTCTTCTGAATCTTTGCTTTAAACATGCATATTCACCAAACCAAGTCTACTAATCCACCCACATTTGCAGGCACAAACTAAGTATTACAAAGCTAAATCAATATTGAGAAAGTCAACAGATTCTCTAGTGTGTTCAGCTGCCTAGAATGAACAGAGCTGTTTTTCTTACAAACTTTTATGGCTCTAAAATCCCAGTTTTAACCTAAAGCCCTCTCTTCCAAACTCAGCTCAAAGCCCAATCCTTCAGATGCCTCCTGATTAAGTATACACATGGTTCAATAGGAGTCAGGGGAAATCAGTATGTTTCATCATATTTTTCTGGCTAAGAGGTTGTGACATCTCTATTATTCCTCAGAATCCAGCGTTACCCCAAGGGGTCAAAGAGTTTCGGAGGCTTTAAGAATCTTCACTAAAAGTTATCTTTTTAATCCTAGAGATAGAAGGTTTGAACCTAACCTTGTCCTCAGAATGGCAAGCTATTTCTATACCTTTAGGTCAAATTATTCTCCACTCGTATTAAATCTAAGCTCTTATTTATCAGAAGTTTGAAGTATGAACCATGTGGCCTGAATAAAAAAAAAAAAAAGATGTGTAAATTCTAAATCCCTGAAGTCTTTAATCTGATGTTTACTTTTTCATCAGTATAAATAGCATCTTTTGCTATTTCCATGCTACATAAATAAATTAAAGGAGGCTGGAAGCAAAACTGTGTAAGTAGATTAACTGCCCAGAGAAGACAGGGTAATTGTATAAAGTATTTTTCAGTGAGGATGTCAGATCGAGACAAATTCACCGAAACATAAGCTCAGTGCTCATGGCAGAAGGCACAGTCAAGTCGTTAAAAGCACAGGCCCAAAATTCAAATACATGGAGAAGGAATCCTATTTCGAGTAGTTTCTATCCATATAACTTTCCACCATGAACTCAGACTCTGTGCCTTAGTTCTCACAACTATAAAATGGAACTGAATCACACCTATAGTGCATAGGGGTTGTCATAAGAATTAAGCAATATAATACTTGTAAAGCACTTAGCATGGGTCCCGTCACACAGGAAATAGTAAATGTTAACTTCACTGAAATCTCATCCTCAAGTGGAGGTCTCACTTGAGAATGGACTAACTGATCTCTACTCAGAGCTCCTTGTAAGGACAGAATCTCATTAACCTGACCCCTATTCTCTGGTATTCCTATTTTTGTCTCAAAAACCTGTGCTCAATTGGGCTAAATCCACTCCACCCTCGTTAGATGTCTAAGATCAATGGTCTGGCTTTTTGGGGGGGTGTTGTTAATAATGAATGCCTTGGAGAATCTGACCAAAAGCTATGAGTTCCCTTGCTCTAAAAATGATTATATGTAGAAGGGTGCATATAATCTGGGACAGACCCTGTGAAGCCCATGTTTGGAACCCAGGTAAGAACTCTTAGCCTAGACTGTACTTCTACCTTAACACAATGCCTTGGATGGTCGACATCTCATTAGATGATCTCCGGGCTCAAGAAACACATTTGTTTACCTGACTTGAGGTTCTGCATGGGTGCTGGCGTTGAAGAAGTAGAGGTAAAGACCCTAGGTGACGTTGGAACACTGGTGACCTCAGCTGGAGTTAGAAACCAACATGAAAGCAAGGATTAATCAAGCAGCAAGAAACAAGAGCCTTGTGCTGGACGCATGTACTAATGCAACCAATGAGAGACTGTCCCCAGACAGAATTAGGCACTGATCTTCCCTGAAAGCAGAGTTCTTGTCACTGATCAACTAGAATCTGTGACAGAGGGCTCTGAAGACATACTTGCAAAAAGGAAACAGCTGCATTAAAAGGATATATTTGGGGAGGTTCAGAGGTGAAAAATGTCACCTGGGATTTGCACTGAAGCACTTTGAAAGACCGGTCATGCATATCAGATCTCTGTATCTTCATAAACATTTGTGAGATAAGGAAAATGTCTAGAGCCTGGAGCTGCCTTTATCCTCTCCGTGGTGAATGACTAAGACTTCAACAGTAGTTCCCAGGCCTAGAATGCTTACCAAATAAATAGCATTCAGTCCAGTCAGGCCTGAGGGAGGCATACCGAAAGAAGGACCTGCATCCTAAATGAGGACTAACTCACACCCATTAGCATATGCTAGATAAATCACACAGATGATTTATACATTTGGTTAGAAGGTAAACTAGACCTTTTGCATTCCTTCCCACCTAAGAGGTAACAACAGCTAGTAACGTTGACTCGCTCTTTCCAATTCGGCAGCGGGATTCCAAATCACTTAGTGAATGTGTCAGGGCTACCCAGACGGAGCTAAAACCAGAAGTTAGCCCAAACAAAAGCAAACCAATGAAGGACTGAATCAAGAATGTATACTCTTGATCTCACTAGGCACCTTTTTTCTCTGTAAGAAGTTTCCTTAAATTTCGACTTGACTTACTACAAAAGAAAACCCATGTCACGTAAATAGGGGACAGTTGCTTTGAAAACTTTTCTTTCTGAAAGATCCAATTTAATTTAGAATCAGAAGAGGAAAAATTTGTTTTCAACAAATATTTGTCTATTATATGCAAAGCATTAGTCCAAAGCAGAGATCAGCAAAGTTTCTGGAAAGGTCCAGACAGTAAATGCTTTAAGCTTCCGGGGCACTTGCTCCACTCTGCCTATGGGGAAGCCACGGTGGACAATGTATATATCAAATGGGTATGGCTGCTCAGATAAAAACATATAAAACAGCAGGCCTGTTTTGTAATCTGATCTAGCCCTGGGGCTTCAGTCTGCTGACCCTGATCTAAGGTGTAGTTAGCTACTTTCAAAAAGAGTACAATCCAATTCCCTCCTTCCAGTTTAAAAAATCTAATCTACAGGGGAAAAAGCACATATGCAGAAAATCTGATCAAAGGAGAGTAAGGGAAACAATAGAGGAGGTAACCTAATCAAATTGTCTAATGAACTTGGTATCTTCAGTGGCAAATATTTTCCCCGGCGGAAGCAAGGAAACTGTAACTGTAGATGCTGGTGAAAAAAAGCCTGAACAGAAGCTTGAAGAATAAGCTCAGCCGGTGAAAAATGCAAGCAAACTTAAGCAAAGAATTGGTTATCGGAGGCAGTCTCCTTGGCTCAGTTAAGGACCCTCTTCCCACTTGACAAGAGCACCGCCCTTGGAAGTGCCCACCTATTAAAAAATTTCGGAGCACTTCACAAGTGTCCTACTAATTTCCCGGCTATGTCAATTCTTAACATTCAGCCAAAACAATAATAAATTTCACAAATCCAAAAAAGTTGCAATCATAATCTTTTCTCCACATGCTGCTTCCTTGCATCTGTCTAGAGCACACAATTATCACCAGCCTCTTTTGGCTTCCCTAAATTGCTTCCCATAGATGATTTTCCCCACGGTCAGCTATTTTCTCCATCAGAACTGACCTTATGTCACTAGTCTTCACAAAAGAAACAAACCAAGTCCAAAAGTTGGGAGACTGCAAAACCAATTGCAAAACCAAGTTCCTCTTAATTAAAAAAGAAAGAAAGAAAGAAAGAAAGAAAGAAAGAAAGAAAGAAAGAAAGAAAGAAAGAGAGAGACACATAGTTTATTAAGGCCACAGGTATTGGGTTCTGTGGTCAATATCAGAGCTTAGTGGAAGGAAATTCATTAGGAAGGAACACCAGAAACCAGGAAATCCTGAAGAATCCACTCCATTCATCCAAGGTAACAAAAATAAGGATGTTCACATCAAGACAGATTTTTCAATTTCATCAAATTCTTAAAAGCAACTGTTGAATAGTTGTTGGGATATAAATGTTTTCATATTGCAATAGGTCACTTTAATTTTTAAACAAGCAATTTTGTGATATGATATGAAATATGCTTCAAAAAATCTCAGGCAGGGCAGAGGGAAGGATGAAACTATATATCCCTTTACGATGTATATGCAACTAGATCGAGTTGACAACTGTTAGAGCTGGGTGATATCCCTACTTGATAAGACCTTATATTATATTACCTACTTTATATGTTTGAAATTCTCCAAAACAGTTTTAAAATGTTAAGGACATTTAAAAATTCTTCTAAAACATAATCTCAGAGAAAAAAAAGGGCAGTTCTTTAAGTTGAGCAAATTCAGCTTGATAGGAATGTTCACTCTATTTCACAATGGAACACTGAATGCTTTTTCATGAACCAACTAGCATTTTTTTAATTTATTTATTTGAGACAGAAAAACAGAGATAGCAACAGAGATAGTACAAGTGGGAGGAGAGGGAAAAGCAGGCTCCTGGCTGAGCAGGGAGCCTGACTTGGGGCTTGATCCCAGGACCCTGGGATCATGACCTGAGCCAAAGGCAGACGCCCAACCAACTGAGCCATCCAGGTGCCCCTGCACCAACTAGCACTTTTGAAGCCCTGCTTTAGGAGATAGTTTGCTGACTGGAAAGATCCTCTCACCTATAGTCTTGCTCAAGATTGGTCTGAACACTTCATTTTATACCAATAGAAATTATTCTATTTTCCAACACTTACTGAAAAACAAGACTGGAGGAACCTCCCCTTTCCCTATTAAAGGAAGAGAAAGTTACTACCAAACAGGAAACATCTCAGTTCACCCATATGAAGTGATCAAAGGAAGATGGAAAGACAAGCTCACCTGGCATTATCTCCAATGAGATGGTGAGTTTCATATCATTGAACCACCCCTTGTGCTCAACACGGCAACAGTACAGACCTCTATCAGTCTGGGCCACGTTCTCTATGGTCAAAGACACGTTCCCTCCTAAAATGTTTCCCTTTAGCTTATAACGCGGGTGCTTCTGAACAGTGACATGGGATCCGTCAGTCCAGACCAGTTCATCTGAGCAATGGGACATGGGACACGGCCCCCGGCCCCAGCACATGGTTGTGACTCCATTAGCTGTTGAGTAGGTGCAGGGTAGCATGGCGGAATGACCCACCACTCCAATCACTTGAGTGTAAGAAACTACAGCATCTATAAATAAAGAGAAAACAGAGCATGAGGCCTCAGTCTTTTAATTTTACATGTATTTTCACTTTTTTCTTTTTACATAGTTTATTTCATTTGTAATGATAGGACTTTATATCTTCAATTTAAAAAATTATAAGCATTTTTACATTAACATGTTCTTTAAAAGCATTATTTATTTGATATTTGTAGATAAAATATAATTTAAACTTTTTTTCTGTATTTAGGAATAGCACAGACATCTAAGAGAGAAATTACCAAGACAAAGGGCAGCAATATTTTCAGTCTCTTGATGAACATGGCCAAATTTCTTTCTAAAAGGTTTGAACCAAATGACACTCCAATAATACATGAGTGTGTATTTCATTCTGTGTCTGACAGTGGCTCAATAGGTTAAGTGTCCGACTCTTGGTTTCTGCTCCAGTCATCATCTCAGGGTCATGAGATCGAGCCCTGCATCAGGCTCTGCACTCAGTGAGGAGTTGGCTTGAGATTCTCTCTCTCCCTCTCCCTCTGCCCCTCCCCCTGCTCACACTCTCTCTCTAAAATAAATAAATAAAATCTTTTTTAAAAAAGAAAAGAAAATGTGTTTCTAATACTTCTAGGAGGAGCTGAGGTTTACCAGGGGCTTTAGGATCAGTCCAAAAAAATCCAATAGGAACCGCTTCTCATAAGTTGATAACAGCCCCACAGTTGAGTGAGGCCCACTTTCTCCGTGAAAAGAGAGAATTGGAAAATACTCAATCATGTACTAAATTATGCCACTTAAAAAATAAAACAAGAAGTCTCTTCTGGAACAGTGGCATGAAAACCCTATAGTGCCAAATGCAGTCAAGGTAGCCCTTAAAAGAAGTTGGAAATTCACCAATCACCCATATTTAATAATGCTATGACTTTGGGAAATGCTTTGGGAATAAAAATGCTCATTGTTACATAAAATAAGAAAATAACTTTTTCACTGAATTCTTATAATATTTCATTTTGCCTAACATCATTTTTGGATTACAAATATAATATATGCTAATCATAAAAATCAATATAAGAGTTATAATAAGAAATGAACTTTCCCCCATAATCTGACTTCTAGAGATTATTGTTTTTAAAATTTCAGATTACATCTATTCCTAACTTTCCCCTCTATCTCATGGAATGCTTGAACTAAAATATTTTTAAAAGAGATAATTGCACATCATTTTTTAAAAATCAAAGGACAGTGAAGGACTGATCTTCTTTCCATCTTAGTCCAGTTTCTTCTCCCCATCCCCTCCCACCTATGCTAACACTGTTACTATGTCTTATATAGACTTGAGTAGTCCATGCTCACAGGACTATCTACCCACCCCTTTTTGTTTGTTCGTTCAAACACAAATGGCAAGATATGATACACTGTTCTGCATTGTGCCTCGTTCATTTACCCATGGATTTTGCAATTCATAGCATTTAAGCAATTTATTTGAGTAAGACTTAGCCTGGTTCTTTGCTCACTAGCTGACCCACTAGTTTCCACCAAAGCCCAAGCACGTCCATCTTCCTATAGTACACTCACACATCTCCTACAGTCTCCCATCCTCAGGACTTCCAGACCCCAGCCCACCTATTTGCTTACCCGTCAGAAGTAGTATGAAGCTGGAGATGGCTACCCAAGGTTGCATGATGGTCATGGCCTGAAAGAAAAAGAAAGCAGACGGGTAAGTGTTCCTCTTACCAGATGGTCTTAGAACATTTCTCAATTCTGTTCACAACTTCTCCTTTCTCCCTAATTGGGTGAATCACATAAGCCTGTCCCGTTAGCGATGAGAAACCAAGCACAACAGCTGCAGGTCGCAGTTAGCTCCGGGGTGGCTGACGGATCTGCACCTTGCAACATAGAGCAGCCCCTCAGGTTCAGCTCCTTCCCCACAGAGTCCAAACTGACGCCTGATGTCGACACAAGGAATAAGGGAGCAAACGGGAAAGAAACCAGAGGCAGGTTCGATGAGGGGAACATCACAGCAAAGGCTAGTCTTCACCTACCCTTGGCCTCTGAGAGGAGCATCAACTGGCCCGTTGGTGAGTGCAGGGTACCCTGGGCTCTGTGGCTACAATGATCAGTCCCCAGTCTTTGTCATACTGTCAAGTCTGCCGGTAGCAAGAATTAATCAAGAACATGAATCACTGTGCCCAACCATTCGTGTTACGGAAGTGATGACTCAGACCACATCTTACTGAGTGATGACAGGAGAATGTTTCAGGAAGCAGATTCTGGATCACACTTGGGTTCAGATCCCAGCTCTGCCACCTGCGAAGCTGGGTAGACCTGCCAGTTACTGAGTGCCTTCAAGCCTTGATTTCCTCATTTGTAAAAATAGCATTTAAAATACTTGCTCTGTCTCCCTCAAGGGATTGTTATAGTGAGCAAAAGTGATGTGGGAGACGTTTGAAAATGAAACCTAAATGCGCATTAATGCTAAGCAAGATTTTTGGAGAACTGTGTAGCAGGTTCTATGCCAAGCACCCACATGCACTAAATCCTCACAGACCCCCTTAGGCAGGTGTTGCTACTAACCTCATTCATGGAGGAGGAAACTGAGGCTTAGGGAGGTTAAGTGAGCTGAGGTTCCAGCCCAGGTCTTCTGACTTTTGCTCTTAATTATTAAGCCATACAAGTATGTGTAAGCCTGCCTAGTACTTCATTAACTGCCCTTCTGGTCTAAAGATTCAGTAATTTCCTCCCAAGGAAGCACTGATGCTCCATTTCTAGGCTGCTTGCAGCCCATCACAGGCTTCATGGAGACATGGATGATGGGCTGGATATACTCTGGCACTAGGTCCTGTGCTGCCCGGGAACACAAACCCTGGACTCCAGCAGTCTCCGCACTTGGAGAAAGACCTAGAGCCTGATGCTACAAACTGGTGGCCCGAAGACTATACTTGGCCCACAGAAGTACTTTGTACCACAGTGTTTAAAAATTCATTTCTTAATTAATGGCCAAGATTTAGAAATCTAGAGAGCCCGTGTGAGAACTCAGCTTTTCAGCTTTGTTATGAGATATAATTAGACGGCCATACATGGCCCGTACCACCCAGTGCCCTTAGAGTGTGCCCTCTCAAGCCTGCCACTACACTGGTCCAGCCATGTCTGAAGAAGGCCTTGACTAGAGGAAGCCCTTGCTTTAGACTCTGCTCCACCTCCATGAACACAAGTTCCTTCCTGACACCGGGACTTCACACAAGATATCCCCTGGCCTAGTTGCTGAAATTCACCTCTTCTATAAAACAGTTGTACTATATGATCTGTAATAGCCCTCCTGGCTTTTCAATGCCACACACTTGAATTCAATTAGGCAACAAGATGAGTTCTCACAAGGGAAACGCTCATTTCTGGACACCCATTTTGCTCTTATTCTCCACCTTTATATACTTGAAGGGAAAAATATTTACCCCCACCTTGACCACCACCAAAAGTGAGGGGACAAATTCTGAAATGCCTCACAAAGAAGTAGGTCATACCTTATATTTATTTGGGAAGCAAAATATGTCATGACTAGTTTTGTTATACTCTGAGACTCAGCCATAGCCCAGCAGGTCAGTGATAAGGACTTTTCTAATTTAATTCAATCCTACCACAGTTATTATCCATATATGGAGGCTAACAGGACATGACTCAACAAACTAAGAATGAAAAAAACCCAGGATTGTGCAATCAGGTGGAGAGACTGGTAAGTAAGCAACTAATAAAATTGGGTAGAATGATGTAAATGGTAAATATATAATCAGACTGTGTTACTCTTCCCCTTAGAACACTCCCATGGCTGTCTCAGAAAACAAACAAACAAATAAACAAAAAAAAGCACTCACTTCCTACCCAAATTCACAAAGTCCCTCACAGTGATCTGGCCCCGGCCCACCTCTCAGATTTCTTCTGTGTCTCTCTCCCCTCCCACAGGGCTCCAGCCATTTGGGGTTCTTTCAAATGTGTCCCCACATTAGGACTTCTCCCCTAGTGGTGCCCTCTGCCTTGATCTCCATTCCTTCACCCCACCAATTTCAGATTGCTCCTTTTCTTCTCAACCCCTGCTTAAATGCCACCTTCTCAGACATCCCTTGGGTCCCTCTGTCTAAAATAGCCAACCAGTCACTCTACGACACTATTTCAGTTCTCTACGCAGCATTTATTCCCTTGACTCTGTGTGTGTGTGTGTGTGTGTGTGTGTGTGTGTGTGTGTGTTGTTCATCCCCCCTCTCTTGTACTGTTAGAACTTTCCATGAAGATGGGGTTAATCCAGCACATGGGTATTGTGTAACATAGTAGCTGCTAGGCACATCTGATTATTGAGCACTGGATATGTAACTAGCACAACTGAGAAGTTAAAAAAAAATTAATTTAATTTTAATTAACTTAAATAGCCATGCATGCCAACAGTCTTAGAAAGTACTCAATTCTAGACCATAGTCTCCTCTAAGACAGTATTCCTGCTGTATTCCTGAAACATTGTAAGGGATCCAATTAGTATTGATTAAATAAACTAATAGAAGCATGAAGGCATGGGGGGAGATCATTCATTGACTGGGTCGGGGGGGAAGGGAGGGAGTGGCAGAAAAATCCCTTAAAAAAGTGACCTGTGAGGTTCATCATCAGAAAATAGGGGAAGGGCAGAAGGTGTTTTAAGTGGAAGTAATAACGAGCAAAAGCCACAACAGGGACACAGAACCAGGGCTCCAAGATGTCCATTGACTGTACAATTTTGTAGGACTGAATTTTCTGGCAAGTCCATCATCCATGACAACCTCTATTGTGTCCCAAAGGCTCCCCAACAGCATAGTGTGGTTCTGTTTTGTTTTTAATTTGAACTAAACAACCTCCATGAATCACTACTCTTTACTCTTGAAGGTTACATCCCGAGTTAAGGGGTAAGGCTCAGTGGGTGGCAATGCTCAGGCACCAAACACGAATTTCCGGGGGCTTTACTCTACCTGAGAAGGAGCACAGAAGTGACAACATCAGGCTTACCTTTGAGAAGGGCTCTGTAGCTGCTAAGTTGAGAAGCATGAAGACCTGTCAGGAGACTTTTGCAGCATGTCAGGAGAGAGGAAAGGAAGAGAGTGGATAGTGCAGGCTCTAGATGTTTACAAAGTAGAGCAAACAGAATTTCTTACAGGATATGAGGTGTAAGAGCTTAAACATGACTCCAAGGGATTTTGGCCTGAGCAACTGGACGAACTGGAAGTGCCACCAACTGACACAGGGAAAGCTGCATGTGACCTGGGTTTGGGAAGGAACAGTCTGGATTTTGAAAGTGCTGAGTTTCAGGGGGAGGCTGTTGGGAGTTCAGGAGACAGGTCTTGGACAAAGATACATATCTGGGAGTCATGGGTACAGAAATGGTATTTCAAAGTCATGAACCTGGACGAGACACTCAAGGGAATGCTTGAGGCCAAGGACTAGGCCCGGGGGCATTCCCCCTGAAGGCTGGAGTGGGAGAGGCACCAGCACACACAGAGAAGCAGAGCAAGGAGGTAGGAAGAAAAGCAAAAGGTAAATGGGATCCTGGAAGTCAAGTGAAACAAATGCATCCAATGAAGAGGCAATTATCATGCAGCACATGTTACAAAGGAAAGGGATGAGATTTTTCCACGGGCGGTGCCACCTGGGAATCACCAATGACCTTGACAAAAGCAGCTGTGGTGAAAACAGCTGAGTGACCATTCACTTTCCCCATGGATGTTACCCCTTGGAGAAAGAGGTTCACAAGGAAAGGGAAAATGAGAGAGAATTGGTGACAGGGAACTCTTTCAAGGAGTTTTACAGGGAAAAAAAATGGAAAAGGGAGTTGGGGAGAAGGGTCGAGAAAAATTTTGAAAATGATAAAAATTAGCAGCAGTTTTTATGATCTGGTGATGATCCAGAGGAGGAAGAAAAATTGACCTAGGAGAGGAAAAATGTGTGGAGTAATGAAGGGATGAGATCCAGTGTCCGAGTATAGGATTTCACTTGGACATGACCAGGGCAGTACCTCATAAGAACAAATGGACGAGGAACTAATGTAGGACCATCTGGCAGCAGGAAAGTGCCCCTGGAGGTAGGGGCGTGAACATGAGAGCAGCCCAAGAGGCTGGCGGTGCTCTCCAGCTACCCGTAGGCACATGCGATGGCAGAGGGGTGGGAGACTCCACATCGGAGTACAGCTTTTTTGTTTTTTAATCTTCTCCAGTCTCTCTCTCTCTCTCTCTCTCTCTAATCTAATCCAGTGCCCCCACCTTAAAAGCATTCAATGATTTCCCAATGCCAAAGTCCAAACTCTGAAAGCAGCCTACCCTCCCAAGCTGACCACACCGGTCCACCCAGAGCCTCACAAAACTCCCACCAAACTAAACCATCAGTATCTGCTAAGTTTTGTAAGCCCAGTAGTTTCTGACACAGAAGAGACTACGATGAAACCTGTGAAAGTCAGAAGCCAATACGAGCCTCCTCCTTGACTGATCATTACACTTTATACAACTAATTATCTTTTACAAATCACAAATATTTTTACTTTACAAATCACAAAAGTCAATAAGCCAAACTGCTAATGTAGCTATGCTGTAGACACACATATTCCCATTTCCATAATATTATATAATACCCACTTCACAGAGGAGGAGAGGCTCAACAAAGGTATGTGTTGACTCTAAGGCCACACAGCCCTCAAGTAAGCCTAAATGAATATGGCTGCCTCCAAAGTGACACTATTCCTCTCACTGATGTTGCCCAGGAAAAGCATAAATAACTCCGACTGTGTAAGTCCATGATTCTATCTATTTGAGACATCTACCTCCCAAGAAATGCAAAGATTTATCCAATTTTATGCAAATTTCCCCTAGTTCTTGGCTCCATCATCACTGTCCTAAGATCCCACATAATACTGAAAAAGGTCAAGCGGCAAAGCTTCTGGTTTCCGGAGGACTTACGTACAGCCAAGCTAGGAGGTAGTTTTCCTGCTCCTCTGGTGGTCTGTCACTGATCCTCCCTCAAAAGATTTTATGGAGAAAGACAACCTTCTCCCAGCATTCCATTCTTTATCTCTTTGCCACACCTGTATCTTTGAAAGTTAAGCTTCTCCAGTCTCCCAATCTTTTTTGCTGGAATTGATCTATTTACTACCTCACATAGATTGTAAGGAGATGT